TGCTTAGGTTAGGATTAGTGCCCTTATAAAAGAGACCACAGAGAGTTATCACCCTCTTTCTGCCCTGTGTGGTTACAGTGAAAAGGCTATGAACCAGGAAGCTGGCCCTCCTCACAAGACCAAGATCCTGATGTGAGCACCCTACTCCCAGTCTTCCAGCCTCCAAAACTGAGAGAATAAATTTTGGTTGTTCATAAGCTACCCATTTTATGTTATTTTGTTACAGCAGCCCAAGCTGACCAGGACACTCCCTAATCATAGTTTAAGCATTTTATATTAAACATACTATATATCATGGCAACTCCCTAGAAAAGTTCCTTTACTCTTTTGTCAGTTAGTGTCCTTATATATAGAAGGGTTAGAAAGTATAAATTCAAGTTGTGGGCAAGTCTTTAAAATGAGAGGAATATGAATAGAAAGAGGAAATGTACAGAAACCAGTGTATTTTATAAGCATGTTTATCTTTATAAAGCTGTGTGTGTGGGCAGCCCGGGTGGCTCAGTGGTTTAGCGCCACCTTCGGCCGGGGTGTGGTCTGGAGACCCAGGATGAGTCCCACATCAGGCTCCCTGCAAGAAGCCTGCTTCTCCCTCTGCCTGTGTGTCTGCCTCTCTCTCTCTCTCTCTGTGGGTGTGTCTCTCATGAATAAATAAATAAAATCTTTGATAGATAGATAAATAGATAGATAAATAATAAAAAGACAAATCCAGGAAGCCTGAGTGGCTCAAGGGTTGAGTGACTGCCTTTGGCTCAGGGCGTGATCCTGGAGTCCCAGGACTGAGTTCCGCATTGGGATCCCTGCATGGAGCCTGCTTCTCTCTCTGCCTGTTTCTCTGCCTCTCTCTCTCTCTCTCTCTCTCTATGTCTCTCATAAATAAATAAAAATCTTAAAAAATAAAAAGATAAATCCTACATTGAAATTTAGATCAAGCTCATAAAGATTACAATAGCTGGCCTAGCTTCTGAATCCATGGTAAACCAAACAACAATCTGTTAGTTCAGGTGACTCTTGTGAATTTGGAGGTTGTAAGTGAACATATATATCGTTTTCTTCTAAATAACTTATGAAAAATTATTTATCTTCATTCCCACAACATAACAAGATGTTTTATGAACTTTAGTTTTCTTTGATAGGAGGAAAAGTAGTAATTAATCAAATTTGAAATCACCTGCAAAGCTTGAATACTACTATTAGAAAGACACATGCTATAATGAAATAATTTGAAATGTAAACATTACAAGAAAAATCTGTCAATTTTATCTGTGAATTATTTAGCAGTAATTCATTATTAAAAATGCAAATAATGGGAATAAATTGAAAAAATAACCTACAATACTGTAAACAACCAAAATGTTTGAAGTCTCAAAATAAAAAAGGAATCTACTTTCTAAAATACTATTTTTTAAAAACTCATTGATTCAGGTACTACTAAATGCGGATTTTACTATTTCCTGAATGCTAAACCAAGATTAGCACAGGGGTGTGGGAGAGTTAGATAAAATGGTGTAAAGAAGGTCTACTAAGGTCAGGAAATTACTTCACAAGCTATTTTCAAGTACTTAGAAAACCACTTTTAAAGGATGCTGTTTTGAGAATACACTATAAAGAATATATTATTAACATACACTTAAAACATTAAGATAAGAAACCTCATACACACACACACATGCACGCTGATATTTGAAAATCTGTAATTCAGACTTTCTACTGATGTCAGGGAACTCTTGCTCTTCAATTTCCCTCTACCCAGTGCAAACGTCACACTTAAAGGAGGAAGGGAAAAAACGGAAATGTAGAGTTTCATATTTTAACTGTCATAGATACAGCTGAACTAAATGAACCAGAAAAAAACACTAATATATAAACTTATCTAAATCAGTACTTAAACAGTCCAACTAATACAGGACCAAACAAATTTACTCATGCAGAACACACAGTATTAAAATTCGTTTGGGACGCCTGCTCAGGCGTGAGCTGAGGGTGGCTCAGCATTTGGGTGTCTGCCTTTGGCTCCGGGTATGATCCCAGAGTCCCAGGATCAAGTCCCAGGATGAGTCCCGTATCTGGCTCCCTGCATAGAGCCTGCTTCACCCTCTGCCTGTGTCTCTGCCTCTCTCTCTGTCTCTCATGAATAAATAAATAAAATCTTAAGAAAAAAAAAAAGGTTTGTCTTATTAAACTAAAATTAAGTTCTTTTTCAAAAAAAATTAAGAGAGGGGCAGCCTGGGTGGTTCAGTGGTTTGAGCACCTGCCTTCGGCCCAAGGCGTGATCCTGGAGACCAGGGATCGAGTCCCATGTCAGGCTCCCTGTATGGAGCCTGCTTCTCCCTCTGCCTGTGTCTCTGCCTCTCTCTCTATCGTGAATAAATAAATAAACTTTAAAAAATTTTAAGAGAAATACTGCACATCTTTTTTAGGTTAATGGTTTAAAAAATCACTCTCTACTAAAGTTTAATTTTAAGACAACTAATCACCACTCTAGGTTACTTATCCTAGAACAAATGCACAAGCATGTATAAGGATGTTCAGTGCAATGCCTCAGTAACAACCAAGATCTATTTCCAGAGGGAAAGTTTGAGTCTACTACTGTACCATCATACAGTTAAAACATTATGTGGTAGTTTAAAAGACTGAATAGGTCTATTTTTACTGCCTGGAAAGATCTCTAAGACCTAATGTAGAAGTAAGTTGTAAAACAAAGTTTACAAAAGGACACCATATATACACGTTTCACAGACACACAAATGCACACAGAACTTTGGCATTTCTGTATGTACATATGTGCTTGTAAAAATGGAAAGACAAAGGTCTGGAAAAATATTCAGGAAACAGAGAACAGTTACCTCTAACAGTGTGTGTGTAAAACTGGAATGGGAGGGAATCACAGGGATTTCTGCTTCATTTTTATTATGTCTGTACAACGAGAATGTATTCATATGTCACTTGAGACACTAAAAAACAAGAATAAGAAAAAAAAATGCTTGCTCAGTTCTCTCAAATCATTTACAAACCAGAACCGTTAGGTGTAAGGAGATTTCATTTTCTTCTACCGACTTGAAGGCAAAAACCAAGTGTCATCAACAGTACTTCCCTAGCAAAAAGTGACAAAACTGGAAAGAAAAACGTTTTAAATGTCTTACCTACAAATAAAAAAGAACAAAGTGGCGCTGAAGAGACGGCAGAGGAAGAAACCAAAAAAGACCCTTAACTCAAGACGTCCACTTTCAAGATCCTGGACTGGTTGAGCTAGCTCAGCTTGACCCAGAATCCTCATATAACCAATTTACCCAAAACGGGGGGAAAAAAAAAAAGTGGAATACTGTTCCCTCAAGTATTGAAGGTTGTTTTTAGAAAGCTTAACTAAGAAACCGTAAATGCCAAGTGTGTTTTACAGGGGTGGGAAGAGGAACATGAAACCCTACACCTCCTGAAAGCGGTCAAAACGAACTGAAGAGCACAGGGGACCCGGGGAAGCGCGCGGGGGTGGGGAGAGCTCGGCTATCACTTTTAGGCTTTGGCTGGGCGCCGCACCACAGTTTACGCCGAGTCCGTGTGGTGCACGAAGTCCCTCAAGCTGGTCACCGCGCCGCGGCCGACACCCCAGCCCTCCGAAGACTGAGGGGAGGGGAGTGCTGTCAGCAAAAACTTAGTCCTTCGCGAGCGGGGAGCGCTGGAGGGAGCCAAGCGCCAACTTGGGCTCCAAACGAAGCAGCTCCGGGAGGTTCGGCAAGTCTTCTCCCGAACAACCCCACTCCACACGCGCCCCCAACACCTTTCCCGGCCAGTAGCGTCTGCCGCCCACACGGCCCCCTGAGGGAAACCCAGCAAGGGCGGCGGCCGGCAGCACGCACGGGGGGCTTGGCCGTGGGAGGACACCCGCACCGGGGGCGCCAGCCAACGTCCACCCAGCACCCCGGGGTCTCCGGGGCGCCCCCGCCGAGGCGCTTCCCCACCAACAGCCCCCGCGGCGCGGCCCCTCCCCCACCTCTGGGCGGCGACCTCAGCGCCTCCGCCCCCGGGCCCCCGCTCACCCAGGTAGCGGCTCCGCAGCCGGGACGGGTCCTCCAGCCCGAGGGACCTTTTCCTCACGTCCCACAACAGGTGTGGGCAGGAGCCACCCCGAGACATGGCTCTGCCGGGCCGGGGTAGAAGGGGAGACCACCGCGTGGGGGAGGGGAGAAGGGGGAGGGGACACCGCGGATCAACACCGGAGCCGCACCGGCACCATCCGCGCGCCGGGCCTCGCGGGCGCTGCGAGTTAGATGGCGGCGGCGCCCTCGCCCCCGAAGCCCGGCCGCGCCCGGGCCGGAGCTCGCCTCATACTCTCCTTCTCAGACTACCCAGAACAGCCAGAGATCAGCAACAGTCCCCTCCCTCGGCCCCCCTCCAACAGGAGGAGGAGGCGGAGGCGGCCGCGACTCCTCCCTCTCCCCGTTCTCGACACCCTCCCTTCCAAGCGCGTCTCGCGAGATGACGACCACCCCCGGGACTGACGCCCGTCTGCGCCACGGCTGCCCTCACCCTAGGAAAGTGGGTTCTGTAGCTGACTCCTTGATTCTCTACGGATAAGTGAGGAATAGAGAGAGAAGGAGCTGTGAAGGAGATGTGAAGTCTCTCCGTCACAAGGCTCATTCTAAAGGAAGCAAGAGCGTTGTGCGGCGTCATCTTTAGTTGGGGCACTGAAGGCCCGGAAAGCCCATTTTAACTACGGGCTCTCTTAAAGCGGAGGGGGATTAGAGCCCGTGCAGCTTCACTTTCCCTTCTCCAACATGGCCTCGAGGGCAGGAAGGAGAAATTGGAGGTTCGCGCTGGACCCCGCCCGCACCGCGAGGCGGGCCAATCACCGTGGGGCGGCCGTGCTTGCGCAGGCGCGCTGCCGCCGGGGCGCCGGGTTGGCGTGGAGAGGCAGTCCTCCAGGCACCTGTTGCCATGACTCCTCCTCCTCCTGGGCGGCGGGAGTGAAGGAGGCGGGCCCGGGGCGGGCCGTCGCTGTATCTCCGCCCCCTCAGTGCTTTCCTGGGTTCTCGCCACCCCGGTGGTTCGCAGGGGGCAGCCTGAGCCGCGGGAAGGGCACCCTCGGAGAGAGGAGGACGCTAGGCGCTGTGGCAGGAGAAAGTGACGAGTGCCCTTCGTTGTCATCCAGGGAGCAGCACGCGGCCGCTCTCCCTCTCGACCGCCCACGACCGCTCGTCCGCAGAGATGTCAGCCGCTGGCGCCCGGGGCCTTCGGGCCACCTACCACCGGGTCCTGGATAAAGTGGAGCTCCTGCTGCCGGAGAAATTGAGGCCGCTGTACAACCACCCGGCAGGTAACAGACCCGGAATAGCTCTCAGCGAGACCTTCACTCCCTCCCCGTCGGAAATAGACCTTTAGCGGCCACGGACAACTCCGCCGCTGGAGGCATCGCCCGCAGCCCCAACTACTTCCCTTCAAGCGAGCCGGGTCTCACTTTCCCGTCCTCCCTGCTTTTCACTTTATCTCCTCCAACATCTCTCGTTAAACCTGAGGTTATCGATTCTGTGCCCTTCGCGACCTTTGCTGCACCCCATCCCTTAGGCACGACCCACACCCCGGCCCGGGCCTTTGGGTTTGAGCCTTCTCGCTTCCCGCGGCCACAGATCGGCCTGGGCCCCCACGAGATTCTCATTCTCTCCCTTATCCTCCACGAGTACTGGTGTATATTGATCCACGCGGATCTTGCCGCACCGGTTTGGAGTAAAGGTCACACTTCCCTCAGCTCCAGCTGGCCGAGGCCTGCAGATGCGTTTACCCGGGTTTCCGAGTCAGTGTCATACCTAGTCCCATAGATCCAGTTTGTTGAAGGCTGTCCTTTCTGACTGATTCTCCCTAGACTCTTTCATGTGGGCAGACCCGGATTTAATTCTGTTGTGCCTCTTACTATGTAGCTGTGACCTTGGGCGAAATCCTAGATAGTTTAGTCCCTGTAAAATCTGCTCAGTGTGAGGATTAAAGATAACATGCGTTTGAGTCTTCATAAATTGCCTAACAAGTGTTAGCTCTCACTTGTCCTGCTGGAAAACACTGTTCTTGTGGCTGAAAAAAAAAATAGTTGTATAAGAAACTGGAAGATCGGGATCCCTGGGTGGCGCGGCGGTTTAGCGCCTGCCTTTGGCCCAGGGCGCGATCCTGGAGACCCGGGATCGAATCCCACGTCGGGCTCCCGGTGCATGGAGCCTGCTTCTCCCTCTGCCTGTGTCTCTGCCTCTTTCTCTCTCTCTCTCTCTCTCTGTGTGTGTGTGTGTGACTGTCATAAATAAATAAATAATAAAAATTAAAAAAAAAAAAAGAAACTGGAAGATCCCAATCCTTACAACTCTTCAAGACCTAGAGTTTTGTTACCTCTTCTATAAAACAGGCGTAATATTACTTAGCTGGTAACTAAAACCCGAGGTACTGAGGTCTATTTCAAGCTTAAAACTTAGTGAATGAGAAAATATGTTACAAATTGAAAGATTGAAGTGCACCCCAAAAGTGACCCTTTTTTCCTTCCTCTGCAGTTGGCATCGTTAGGAAAGTTGTCTTTTCTCCACACGTTTGACTAGGAAGGAGTTCTCTGGAGTCTGAGATGGTTCCTGACTCTGATTTCCAGTTTGATAATGAAATGATGAATAGTATAATACTTTACTAAAATACAAAATAAATATTATACTTAAGTATTATATTGCTTACTGCAGTATCATACCCATTATAAAATTAGTCTTTAGGAAATTTATTTAGTTTATTTGCCTTTTAGGTTTTTTTAACCCTCAGTTTTTTGGAATTGTGCTGTGTTTGGTGACAAAGATTTTCAGGAGGGAGAGTTGAGCAATGCTTCTGTAGTAATCTGGGTTTTAGAGTCAACTGAATTCTATAGAGTCAACTTTGACCCTCTTCAGCTTTGTATTTGGGCTGTAGGATAAGGACAGGGCAGAGGAGGATCATTTTATTTTATTTTATTTTTTTTTTTATTTATGATAGTCACAGAGAGAGAGAGAGAGGCAGAGACACAGGCAGAGGGAGAAGCAGGCTCCATGCACCGGGAGCCTGACGTGGGATTCGATCCCGGGTCTCCAGGATCGCGCCCTGGGCCAAAGGCAGGCGCCAAACCGCTGCGCCACCCAGGGATCCCGAGGAGGATCATTTTAAACTGCTTTAATACAGAAGTGGAGGTTAGTTTTATAATGATCTTTTCTGGGGTCTTGGCTTTAACCACTTATAATTATTGCTTTAGTCATCTTTGAGAATCAAGAGGATTTACCTTTCATTTGTAGACTGTGCACTTCATCTGGGTATTCTTGGATTAGTTCAGTTATTGTAACCCCATTTTCAGAGTAGGGGAAGGAGAATAGGCTCTGTATGGCTTCAGAGCCTATTCTGCTTTTAAGGTTTAAATCTTGGCTATGTGACCTTGATCTTAAAGCCCCCAAGCCTTATTTTTCTGATTTATAAAATGGAGATAGTAATTATTATCATTTAAGGATTGTTGTGAAAATTAAATGATATAATGGCTATAAAACATTTAGCAAAGTGATTGCACTTAGACTCTCAAAAAATGTTAATGCCCTCTCATCTAAGCTTTTAACCAACATACACAGTAAGAATATCTATCCCTGCAAAATTATTTATGATTAAAAAGTTGTAGCCACACCAATGTAGAAATGGAGAAGCATGAAAAATATTACTGTTAATTCATTAGTATTGAATAAAATCTGAGGAAATGCTAATTACTGCTCGCTAATTATTGCTCCAAGAGTCATCAGAGTGACTATTCAAGGTTTTTGTGTACTATTTTGCATAATAGTATGTTATTGAATCCTCATTTAAACATTAGTTTAAATTCACATACTGGAATTCACATAAGTTCACAATATACAATGATATGCAAGACTAGGATATTAACAGATATCATACACTGTGAATTCTAAATATCTGAGATACAATTTTGTCACTGGCAGAATGTCTGGTAAGGCGGCAAAAATATGTCTTTATATAGATATATACTAGGGTTATAGTACTGTTATATGTATCATATATTATTATATCATAATGGTATATATTATAATTACCTTGCGGCCATCATCATTCATGTATGTTGTTCCTGGCACACTATGATCTACCTCTATAAAGTAAGAATAGAGTTCTAATCAAATGTGTGTCCTAACAAGTTCAGTTCTCATAAGGTATACACTCTCCACTACCACCTCCTGACTGTAAAAAATATGACTCTACACTAACCAGCAGTATAGCTCCATTCCAGGTATTTGTCAGAGAAATAACCTTGAAGTCATGTTGCCCAGTGTTTACTTAAGAGCTTAGTTGAGGGAGAGAAACATTGTTAGTGCAGGCATGTCATTCCTTTGTATATTTATGAGTTCCAAAATAGGGTGAATTGTCCCGAAGTATGCACAAAATGAAACATTGGAATGTAGAAAGAAAACAGTACAACTTCTGTTAATGTGTACTATTATTTTATCCTTTTAAGTTTTCTATTCTGTATATATCTTATAATATAAAGATAAATTAGTATAGTTATATATATATAGTTATATGGAGAACACAGTTGAGTTCTGTGGAGTCAACATATGTACATATGTATGTATGTATGTATATAAATTATATGTATAGTTTATAAATACATACAATATATATGTAGGGGATGTATGCTCAAAAAAAAAAAGGAGGAGGGACGCCTGGGTGGCTCAGAGGCCGAGCATCTGCCTTTGTCTCAGGTTGTGATCCTGGGTCTGGAGATCGAGTCCCACATCGATCTGCAAGGAACCTGCTTCTCAATGAGAGCCCGATGTGGGACTCAATCCTGACATTCCAGGACCATGCCCTGAGCTGAAGGCAGGTGCTCACCCACTGAGTCCTCCAGGTGCCCCTAAATAAATAAAATCTTAAAAAAAAAAAAACTTTTTTTTTCTTTTTTTTAATGATAGAGTCCAATATTCAAAAGTAGTTAGGAGACCAAGAATCCAAAAACTATCCTACAGGTGGTCTAAAGGTATAAACTTCCAGTTACAAAATAAATAAGTTTGGGGGATATAATGTACAATATGATGACTGTAGTTAACAATACCATACTATGTATTTGAAAGCTGCTAAGAGAGTACATCTTAAAAGTTCTTATGACCAGAAAAAAAAATGAAGTGAGGCAACTCATGTTAACTGAATTTATTGTAGTAATAATTTTGTAGTTAAATATATATCAAATCATTATGTTGTACATCTTAAACTAATACAATGTTATATGTCAATTATCTCAGTGAATCTGGGGGAAATAAAATGATAATAAAAATAAATAAAAACTATCCTTCTACTAAGTCGGCCCAGAAAAGAGGTTTCTGAGCCATATCATTTTTTTACCTCACCATCGCTTTGCTTTTCTTGAGTTACATTTTGGCTTAAGTGAGAACTTTTGAAAAAATAGTTCTGTGAAATCAGTTGCAGTGCTTAGTGTGCTGTTGCTGAGACTATCATTCTCTCTACATTTCATGGTATTCTCCCTCTGAAGGATCACAGGAGTTACTTTAAGATCTTAATAGCAGTAATTCTTGTATTTCTCCTAGGTAAGAGAATTGTTTTTTCCCTTTTTATCTTAAACACCTAAAGAATATTTTTTAAAATATAAACAGGGCCACCTGTGTGGCCCAGTTGGTTAAGTGTGTGACTCTTGATTTTGGCTCAGGTCATGATCTTAGGGTGGTGAGATCGAGCCCGGCATCCAGCTTCCATGGCTACACCTGGAGTCTGCCTGAGATTCTCTCCCTCTGCCCCTCCCCTCTCTGGAGCTTGATAACTCTCTCTCTCTCTCTCTCTCTCTCTGTCAAATAAAATCTTTAAAAATAAAATAAAGCATACTAAATGAACCCATGTTAGCAGTGTTCATAAGGGAATATCGTTAAGGGAAAATTCAGAGTTAAATACTAAGGGAAATAGTGTTATATGAGACAGTCTAATAAACCTTAGTTCACTGTACATATTATTTTATTACATGTAAATAAAGCCAAATGTAGATCAAGTAAATAAACAGTGTAGATGCCCACATAGTTATGAATTAACATAGTTCTTTAGCATTTCTGTTAGAACAGTTTATTTTCTTGCTTCAGAGATTATTTGAAGAATTTTAATTACAGTCTATGATAGATATATAGGTATTTTAGATATCTAGATTATAATACATATCATATCTAATATATATCATGTTTATATATACATACCCTTAAAATTAAAGAATAAGAACCAAAATGGAAAGTTGGGATTTTACATACAACTGTGAGATACTGATAAAAAGTAAGATATCTTTAA